ACGTTCAGAACCCAACTTCGCCTCTTAGAATTGAGACGCGAAGTTGGGTGTTGGCTGAACATTGATGAACGCGAGGGTCACTCGTGTTTTGGTTTGTTGTAGCTTAGAAACGCGGGGGTCGGTGTTGGCTGGACCCCTAAGAACGCGAGGGTCGCTCACGTTTAGCTTGTTGTAACGCGGGTCCGACTCCAGCGTTTTGATGTTGTAACGCGGGTTCGACCCTGGCGTTTTGATGTTGTAACGCGGGGTTCGACCATGGCGTTTTGATGTTGAAACGCGAGGTTTGACCCTGGCGTTTTGATGTTGTAACACGGGGAGGACCTCCGCGTCTTGCCTTGCAGAGATTATCACCAAGTAATCTCTTTTTGTCATAGCGTTGCAAAGATCATTGTCTTGTAATCTTCGTCTTGACTCCTTGAGAATATGAGAGTCGTCAGATTGTAAATCCCGATGTTGATTGTGAATGCTGTTGAACTAGAGCTCTCATCGGTTGTCGTGAAGGTCGTCAGATTGTAACCTTCAGCAATCTACGCGAAAGTCTTCAGATTACAGCCTTCTGGAAGTCGTCAGATTGTAACTTCCATCATCGGTGGTTGATGGGGGATAAGCTATCTATTGTGATTTTTAGACAGCCTACACTCCACATAGAGGTGTCCGTGCGGCAAATTGTTGTTCCTTTGTTTATTTTTTTCCTTTGTGTGGCCATCCAATAACCCCACCTCATAAACTCTCATCTTCACAATGGTATGACAAAGATGCAATAAGGAAGTCCACCTAATGGCAAGATAAAACAATCACTTTGAAATAGTGTAGTTTGTGTAAATGAAATTTTGTTAAGTCGTTTGAAGCAAATTTGGTCCTACCAAATCTTATTTTACAACTGGCTAATAGGCTAAGCGTTAGATAAGATCTAAAATTCTTCTATGAAAAGAGATTAAGATCTCTCCTAAACACAGCCATAAAGTCTTCCAAAACTAAGTACCAGAATGACTTCTTTTCTTCTCATGTTAATCTCAATTTTCTTGCTCACTATCCATCTTTTAACTCTTTGCAAGCTGGAGAACTTAGTCATATCTAGTTCTCCATTAGATTCAAAGGCGGCTGAATATGAAAAAACCTTCCCTTCACTCCCGATATTGAAACTCTCTGCAAAATCACCTCTTCAAATCATTACGAAATAAGACAATATGAAGTCAATTGTCTAACAAATATCACAAAACATTCATCCACTTAGGCTCGGTCTGGCAGGAGGAGAAGTAGGGTGAAGTGAAGGACAAAATTAGAATTCCTCTCTAGTAGAGGGCTTTTGGAGAGGAAGGTAAGGTGGTGTGAGGTAAGGTGCAGAGAGAGAAAGTGTCAAATGAACTAGAATTGTAGAGAGAGAAATCCCTCCATTTTGGAAGGACACAAGAGTGAGGTGAGAGAAAGACACATAGTGAGGTGAGAGAAATAAACATTGAATTTAAGTCATATATCTCCTCTTACTCCAACCAAACAAGAAGCACAAAAAGTATATCCTTTCTTACACCTCATTGCACCTCATCTTACCTCATCTTCCTCCTCATACGTCCTATCAAACCATGCCTTAGGCTCTCGCACTGTTTTTACGGCGCTAATGGAAATCATGACGAGGTGAGAGAAGAAAATAAATTAAGGTTCTCAAACCTTTTTTATGGCGCCACTAACAACCATGATAGCTTCCATATATTCAGTGATCATTTCTTTGCAATAGTAATATCAGGTAATATCAGGGGATTGTTCTTCTTAGAGATTAACTTGACGCAATGCGACATAACGACTTTTGGCAACATAAGGCTTATTTTCACTACAATATTTCTTCCCGAGATTAGTAGCTAGGTGATTACTCATCACCTCCATCTTAGATAACATTATTAAAGAGTTGTTCCACACAACTGTGGACATGGTATGACGCATGTCCACCAAGTAAGGGAAGTCCACCTAATGGCAAGATAAAACAATATCACTTTGATTTAAAAATAGAAACCTCCTAATCATTACCTCATTAACGCATCCTTGCCTTGTGTCGGTGCACCATGCATCCACATTCGACCTCAAATTTTGAATTACATAGTCAATTACATCTTCCTTAAACGTGAGTAACTTCTTTCTCTCCCTCATGTTTTATTATTACTTCGACACGTTTGCTTGCCACGATGTCCACATATATGTGGAACTATTTAATAATGGTATCTAAGGTGGAGATGATGGTAACCTCCTAGCTATTAACCTCAAGATGAAATATTACTGTGGAAATAAGCCTCTCATGTCGTAAAAGTCATTATGCTGCCTCGCGTTAAATTAGTCTCTGAGAAAAACAATCCTTCTGGTACTACTATTGCATGAAAATGTTCAGTGATTGTATGAAGACCATCATGGTTGTCAGTGGTGTCATAGAGAATATTCGAGAGCCTAAGTGGATCCACTTGTCCACTTCTATCATCTCGGCATGGTTTCCATTGACACCGTAAAACAGTACGAGAACCTAAGTGGGTCATCTCTCTAACCTTGACATGATTTCCATTGGCACTGTAAAACAGTGTGAGAACCTAAATAGATCCTCTTCTCTTACCTTAGCATGGTTTCCATTAAAAATGGTGTGAGAACCCAAGTGTGTCCTCTTCTCTCACCTCGGCATGGTTTCAATTGGTTTGCAACGTAAAAATGGTGCTTGGGTGAATGTTCCATGAGACTTCTTGGACAATGAACTTCATATTGTCTGATTTCGTAATGAGTTAAAAGAGGTGGTTCTGTCAGAATTTCAATTTCAGAAGTGAACTTCTTGGAGAATGGACTTTATATTGTCTAATCTAGTAATAAGGAGTTGAAGAGGTGGTTTTGTCACAGTTTCAACATCAACAGCAAGGGGGAGGTTTTTTGCATATTGTTTTTCCAGTAGTGTATCACATACACCTTTAAATCTAATGAATACTAGAAATAACTATGTCCTCCAGGTTGCAAAGAGTTGACGAAAAAGTTAAAGATTGAAAATAAGAACAATATAATAGAGATGAACGTGAGGAAAAGAAAAAAGTTACGTTAGTACTTAGTTTTGGATCACTTGATGGCCGTGTTTAGAAGATGAAGATGAGACATTAGTCCCATCTTATAGAAAATTTCTAGACCTTCCCTAATACCTAACAACTAGCCAGTGGCAAAATAATACCCACTAAGACCAAATTTGCACTAAACCATTCTAAATTGTTAAGGATTTATTATCTATAAGGCTAGTCTAATCCTATATATAGGGTTCATGTGTAGCCTTATGGAGATATGAGAAAAACAAGAGAAAAACAATACATAATATAAGATCATTTCTCTTCATATTGCTCCTCTTCCATAAGGGATGGACTTCAGTTAGAGGCTTTTTCTCTTAAAGAAGCTTTATTGTAATCTTGGAAGATTATTTCGTTGAGAATTGGAAAGCGTTTCAAGTATTCTTCTAATTTTATTGATTTTTAATTAATATACATGATATGCATGTTTCACCTTATTGCATGTTGTATTTCTACCACATGGTATCAAAGCACATGGACCATGCATATTCATTGCGCACGGACAATGTGCAAAATAAGTTCGAAACAGTTTGAGCATATTGCACAATCATGCACATTCAAGCTATCTAAACTAATTATTACAATGCAACTCGAAGTAGTATTTAATCATTTTCTTGAAATAATTTTTAACTTTTTAATCTTTTTGTTTATATGCATTATAACTTTGGTAATCAGCCATGGACTGAGAGCTTCTAAGATACCCTATAGTTATTAAGACATGTTATCTACAAACTGTATGGAGCATTTGAAGCAATTTGGTGAGACTGATAAGATATGCCTTAGTAATAACTTACTTCATTAATGTTATTGGTTTAATACAAAAAGGATTTATTATAAATACTACATGGTTATGTATATGTTTCTATTCATTAAATTATTTTGTCAATAAATATATTCTAACAATTTATTAGTTGCATCATTATTAATTCATACCAAGTTTAATATTTTAGATATATTAATAATTAAATTTAATTATAACTATTAATAAAATATATTAATAATGAATTGCTAATAATTTAGAAGATAATACTCTGAATATATTAGTATTTCAATAAAAAAATTACAAACATTGAATGTTAAGTATGCAATCTTGAAGTCCATAAAGTTTGAGATATATCCTTTTTTCTACTCATTTCAGTTTTAAATCTACGTGATATTATATGTAAAATCTCAAAAGTTTATTTCCAATACATACTCTAAATCTGTTTTTTTTTTTCATTGATCACACAGTCATTTTTTTGTCCATGAGAAAAAGATTATGAACACAAGAACAAGTATGTTCACGTGCAAAATATGTGCTTTACAATTTGTATAAAACCAGAACCATACCATCAAACCGCTAATGTCCCATCAACACCACAACAGGGTAAATGTTCTCATTAGTGATTTTAAATTAGTGAAAGTAATTGAACCATAAAGCATCATAAGTACAAACCAATATGTTGAATCAAATTAGGCAAGCTAAGGGCATGTTTGGCGACTGGTCAAACTAAGCCATTGTAATATGTTTGGCAACCGGCTTATATAGGCTTATAAGCCCAAAAAAATCTCTCCTAACTCAGCTTATTTTTTGGTGGCTTATAAGCCATATAGTTTGACCATGTAATGTCAAGTTTACCCCTCCTACATTTAAGATAATTACAATGTCTTACCCAATGTTTAAATTTAGAGTCATGTCCTTTTTGGTCATTTTTAACAATAATGATGAATTATAATTCACTCATTTGCCAAACACTCTCTACAGAAAACGGCTTATAATCCATTTTTTATCATGCACTTTGGCTTATAATCCACTTGGGTTATAATTCATTTGTGGATTATAAGTCAAGTAATTATAAGCCAAGTTCCCAAACGCCCTAAATGATCTTTACTATGAGAACGTACAAGAACAAAATAAATATGCTTTCATGTATGTGAAAAACTTACCTTCAACTTCCATATCTACGACACCTCCAAATAGCATTGCCCTCTTCTTATGAACACACATTGAAAATCCAGCTCGTGGCCCAGGAGGCATTCCACTTTTCTTTACCTATTCATACAAGTAATGTTTAGGAAATGATAAAAAAAAGAGTTCATAATCACAGAACTGCAATGTTGAATACTTGAGCATCTACAGCAGAAGTATAAAAGTCAGGAAACAGCAACTAAAATAGCAAAGCTTTAATCTCAAACCTTTTATGGCTGGCAACATGAATCCCTTTCAGAACTTATCTCTCAATTAGGACTGTTCTCCTCTCAGTGTTGTCAAGGCCATCATATCTGTTAATAACAGCTTGTTCATTTAGGCCTATTCCTAATTCCACTAGCTCCATCAATTAAAATCCTAAGTGTACAATGACGGTTTTTGTTGCACATCCAAGTCATTTCGGCTGCCCTCATTTTATCCTTGGTTGAAGCTATCTAATTTCTTACATATGCACGCATCTCTATCATTTAGCATACTTATCCATCCAAACTCCCATTTAACAACCTCCATATTATCTTCAAATATTGTTTCACAACTGCCAAACATTCTGACCACAAAGCATCATTATGGTGCATCCATCGTAATTCTGATAAAATTGTATTTTAAATTTTTATGGGTGTTCTATAATAATTTATACAAAAAAACACTCAAAAACTGATTAATAATAGTAATGATAAGAGGAAAAGAATAAAATCAGGTTATGTTGCAATAAATAGCAAGAGAAGAATGAAAACTCTATTAAAAAACCCCCATATATGCAGATATTCATTGATAATCAAATCACGCTCTTTTTCCTTCCGAAGAATATAACTTAACTAATTTTCACACTTGAACCTTTATAAGCAACAGCTTCACAATATTTAAAAAAGACAATCAAGAAGATTAAATGGAAAATTAATTCACTGAATACAAAGTGCGCGGACAATCTGAAAAAGACAGGTTTGTTACTTCAAACATAAGGATAAAACCACTAATTTGAACAGCACAGATTGAAAATTCCATGATTATAAAGAGATTAGCTTGGGCATAACAAGAAGTCAAGATCTATTGCGCAATCTGAAAGCCCTTTTAAGAACAATATTGATGCGTATTACAGAAATGACATCTGATCAGTATGAAAATAATCTATAGCACAGTCTGGAATCCAGTTATTCAGCACTCAAAGCCTATGCACACCAAATCAATCCTCATAGTAAGTGGTTTGAAATGTGAAGGACATGTCAGTTCTAACAGCTTCACATGATCTTCCAGCCCTTCGTAACTCCAGTTAACCATCCAAACCCACACCCGAACCCAATATCCAAATCAGAACTCAAAACCCAAACCCAGACACAAATCCAAAAGTCAAAACTCACATCTTTCGATGGTTTTGTTCTTCAAACCCAAATCTCCAACGACTCTCTCTCCTCTCAAACCTTTAAACTCCGCTCCAACCCATCAAAAGTGCACCACCAAGATTGAATTTAATCCCCACATGGGTACAATTGCATATTAGAAGCGACCGCACTGCACAGGCAATCACTGTGTCACAAATCTTCTGACCTTTTATATATTTCTTCATGGCACTCTTGTGATTAGTTAGCAATATACCGTTGTACCAGAACCTTCCAGGCAGTAACCAGATTCTGTAGTAGCCTAAGTAATTAGTGCTTTAAAATTGAATTAACGGAGAAAAAATTTTAAAATAAAGATTAGGGAAACTAATTAAGGGTTTTTTTTGGAATTTCAACCCCAACTCTTGATTAACTGCCAAGTAGGTGTTTTAATGGCTAAAAGTCATTCGATGATTTGGGCGGCACCTCCTCAACAAAGGAATAAAACAGGAAAAAAACCCACGAAAAAATTATATTCTCTCATCCTCAACCAAACTCTATGGGAGCTAGAGAAAGCTCGTGAAGGGAGAAAAAAGGACCAAGGCAACAAATCAGTATCCCAATCATTAAGGTATAACCCACTTTCAAATTGCATAGTAAATTCTAGTAATTTGAATCAAAATAGAATGAGTGCGGATGATAACTTGTTATGATTATGAAGCTAAAAACTAGGATTTGCAAAAGAGAATTTTTATGTGTTTAAGATGTATGTGATTGACTGGAGAGAAAAAAAGAAAAAGAAAAGAAAAATTAACCCTAGATCCGACGGAGGTCTTGCCGCCGGCCACTTCTAGTCGTCGGCGATTCCATGTCGTCGTCCTACCACCGTGGCCCTACCGCCATGGAGAGAGAGGGGGGGGAGGGAGAGATGCCTCAGACGGTCCAGCCGAAAAAAAAGAGAAAAGAGGAACGGAAGAAAAAAAAGAAAAGAAAGAAAGGATGGAGGAAGACGATCATGTATAAAGAGATGCCTCTCGAAAAAAAATAGAGAAAAGAGGAACGGAAGAAAAAAAAGAAAAGAAAGAAAGAATGAAGGAGGAAGACGATCTGGTATAAAACAACATAAAGGGAGGAAAATTTATCAAGACCCCCTAAGTTATTTTAGCTTTACTAATAAACCCTCTTGCAAGGTTTTAAATGTCGGCCGACATGTCCGACATGTCGGCCGACATATTGGTTTGAGGGCTTGACCGACACGATATGGACGTTTTCAACTCGTATGTCGGTTTTCAGGGCCAAATCGGAAATATCAGGGTCATATCCGGACATATCGGACTATTTTTTAGCTTTGAAATATCGATCGTTATGGTTTTTTTTTTAAGATCTGTTTTTTGTTATTGGGTTTGGGTTTAGTAATAAATACTCAAACCCGTTTGACCCGTTCTCATGTTTAAGGGTTTCTTATGAACCCAATGGATAGAATTTATGAACCCAAATCCATATATTATTTACTTTTTTATATGTTTAGTCTATAGAATTTCTAAAGTATGCTTATATTGAATTTATGAATGCTTAGATTACATTTAGGACATGATATTATACATATACGCACTACCCGATATGACAATCCGATATTTAGTCAATGTCCCCCGATATATCCCCGATTTCCGCTATCCGATATGAATTTCAGCCATCAGACATGAACCCGACATCCGATATTTAAAACCTTACCCTCTTGAGTGGAGGATAGAGAGTTATGACCTAAGAATTCATTCTAAGTCCCTAAAAGCTACAAAGATTTGTAAATAAACCCTAACAGAGAAATCTAGGATCATATGTGAACAGAATAATTACGTATAGACCCCTGTTATTTACTCTGTTTGCAAACAAGTCCAATCTGAAAAATAAAAGATAATTTTTAGGCTTGATTAATTCCCTATAACCCCCTGCCTTATCATAAATTATTAGGAAGTCCAAAAGCTAGTATACGAGAGTTATAAAATTTTGATAAATTGCTAAAGTTAGCAATAAGCTCATATGTACCCTATTTATAGATTTTAATTATTATTGATTATATGTAAATTTATTTGTCTCTAGATTATGAATTGATTTACCTATAATATATATTTTGTTATGAATTAATATTAATTTTATATCTTCATATTATAGGTTTTGGTTGATATTCAGGAGAATAATATTTTGAGGAAATGTGATCACTAGAGGTGAGTTCATTTCTCATTAGTATTTTATAATATGAAATTGGTTGAGTGTTATATTTGATTTATCTTGTGATCGAAAAATAAATAATATATCATTTTCATGTATATAAAGTTAAAGGTGATTTGATCTACTTCTGTTGTGGCCTAAACCATAATACGATGTTGATTTCGTATAAGATATGAAAAATCAATTTGATTTTATATGAACTATGAAAAGTGAATTGGTTCTCATGCGATTTTAAATAATTGTGGGTATTGCTTTATTTGAAAACTTTTGAAGAAAGAAATATTTTGAACGTGTTTCGAAGTTTAATGAATTTAAAGTTTTTCTAGGGCTTAGTATCTGATAAAAGTAGAGAAAAGTAAAATTCGTAAACTGTTTTAATTAAGATTTAAGATGATGAGTTTACACTCGTCCACTTGATTCAAAAATGTTTAGCAAATTCTGATAAGTGATGTCTTTTCGATTTGACAAGTGATTCTCGATGTTTTAAACCCTAAAAAAAATCATTATGGAGTGATTATGCCTGTCATATGGTGAATGCATCTTTATTTAGCCACTCTGTATTTGGCCCTTTTGTATTAGCCATTTTGTATTGGCCCTACTGTATTGACCCTTCTAAAATATGTTCTGAAATGTGTTCTGACTCATCTGTATTTGGCCAGTAACCTATGACAGTAATAGGTGCATTCGATTTTCGAAAATTATCTATTATGTGATGCGTTTTACGCATTCCTATGCTATTGGGCTATAATTTGTAGCCTTAGTGTGACCTATGAGGTGATTTTCACATTCACGAATGACTTATCGAGATTTAAGATTCTGATAATTGACTGTGAAATAGAGAATAACAAACCTTTGGTGTTTGCACAAATTTAATAGTCCATTTTTTTCTTAGTATTTACCTTGTTTTAAAAAGGGGTATGATTTTGGAATATATTACAATATATTTAGTTTGCAAATGAGAAAGAAATATAAATTGTTACATTCTTCCATAAAAATATCAATAGTATGTTGTTCGGACCATACTTGCAATTTTTTTGAATATCTGGGTGCGAAACTTATAATTCGTTATTTCTGGAATTATTCTTATTATTATTTTGTTAGTTATCTAGGAACTCCAGTGGAAAATGTTCTCACTGAGCCCTAACTCACCCCGTTGTTTTTTCTATTTTTTCAAATCTTGCCTAGCTATATTATAAGCTAAACTTTTGGTTATGGCATGTCGCTGAGAGGCGTTATAGGAAAAACCTCCTATTCAGTGTTTCACACAGTCAATGATTATGCTTTATTTTGTGAAATGCTTATAACGGTGAGCGTGTGGGTTGTAAGTACTGATTATATATATAAATAGTGGCTCTGAACTTCTATCATCAGCAAGATTATATAAGTTTTGAGATAAGCTATATGATATAAAGTGTCAGACTTGACTCATGTACGGGACTTGTCTTGTGCATGGGTCGCTGCTGTCGCCTAAACCGTATATATGAATTTTCACTGCAAATTCGGGGCATGATAGATTCTCTTAGTCATATTGCACAGAAATATAAAACAGTTAAGGATTTAGGACACAGTGCTAAACAAATTTAATTACATTTATTTCCCTTCATAGTGATTTAATATTAGCATGCGCCATGTATTATGGAAATTTGATAATACATCCCTTCAGAGAGTTCAGAACTCAGAGAAGCAGCCAGGGAGGAGTTCAACTCCATTAGGTTACATTAAAATGACAGAAATCAATCTACAATCAGCTTAACAGAGCACCCTCTATTCCCATTCCAGTTCCGAGGATCAAGTGACCACAAGTCCGAATGAACAATCCTTTTCTGAGCCACTTTTATCCATGCCGCAACTTTCCTTCGAATTAACACCATACAGAAAAATCTACAAGAAAGATAGCCGTTTAGTACGTAAAATTAGATTATCGAAAAAGCCCAAGAAAGAATTCAGCGATAGGGGGGGGGGGGCGTCGGGGGTTGCACGTTTATGTACAAATCTATATAGGCAGCAGATACATGCCTAACTGAGAACATCAACCGCACAAGGTAACCTACAGATCTAACAAAGAAATATATGATAGATAGCTCTTTCGATAATGTCAACAACCAACGGAAAGAAAAGGTTAGCAGAGCCATCCCCAAGATAACTTATAGGTCTATGAAAAACTTTACAGGTAGATTGAAGATCAATGAACGTACAGTATTTACCGCCCACTTCATATATAACAACATACAAAAGATCTCCAATAACTTCCATTACATATAGCCAAGAGAGGAAATAAATAATCACAAATAAAAATTGTAGCGTGTATTAATAATGAAAATACTCATAATCCTGTTGGGCTTTCCATTCCAATTGAATTCTCAAGCAAGGACTTCACAAAAGGTCAGCAATTCAGGTACTTGTCACGCTCAAACTCCGCAATCAATGTTGACACAAACAATATCATGTAATATAATGCTCAGCCTCTCGATAGGTTAAAGTGCATATAGTGTAACGTGTAACGTAGGTTATAAATTTTAATTAAATAACTATAACATTATCCACAATAAGTTTAATGAAAAATTTTAATAATTTTAATATAACTATAACATTATCCATCAATAACGTTCTAATATAACTATAACGTTACCCATCAAAAAAATGTAAAAACTCTCATGTAATATAACGCCCAGCCTGTCGATAGTTAAAGTGCATATAGTGTAACGTGTAACGTAGGTTACACATTTTAATTAAATAACTATAACATTATCCACAATAATTTTAATGAAAAAAATTTAATAATTTTAATATAACTATAACATTATCCATCAAAAAAAATTGTAAAACTCTTACAAAGTTAACAACTTTAAGTGGTAAAACTTCAACTGTTAATTTATTCTAAATGTAATTTACTCTAAATGTAAAAGGTTTTAGAAATTTATGTGAAAATAATTACAACTGAAAAAGTGCATGAGCTTCAACATAGAATAACTCAATCAACAATGACAAGCATGTAATAATAAATACTAATTCATCAAAGCAAGACTAGAAATAAGAGCTTAAGGATATTCACATGAATATCTACAAGAAAATTACAATGATGGTCAGTTTAGTTTTCAGATTACCTCGTCTTGGTAAACAAAAAGCTGAAACCCGCTTCTTGCACTTGGCCACAGACAACCAGGACGGGGTTTTATCTCTTGCCACTGCATTAAAGAAAAAACTTTTGAGTTCCAAAACACACAGTGCGGGAAGCTAAAATATATCCAACTCATGTAAAGAACTAGAGAACGTGCCTTGAAATTATCAAGATCAAAAACATGTAAATCATTGAAATACCTGCAAAAGCAAAAGTAAACTTCATGGAGATTAGATCAAAAGATATGAAAACTTCAGAGTAAACGTGTGCTTGTCTATGTTGCAGTAAACTGGAACCAGTTATCATCTATGAATATTAATGAGAACACTAAACATAAAATTACTAAAAGATACTAGTCAGTCATGTAGCTACATTAACTTGATGTATTATATTTAAGGCACTAAATCTTTCGTGCATCAGTTCTTATGTTCTTAGTTCTTGTATGACCCACAACTTGGTTGGATTATATATATTTTTCTTTTGGCTTGAAAATTGACAACTAACTGCTAGAACAAATTTGACCTCAGGTCCAAAGGACTCTCCACCAATGTTACATTAAACGTTGGGCGCTTCTAGGCGTCGGACTTGACGCCCAGCGCTTAGTCGCCTAGGCGGGCGCCTAAGTGGTTTCTGGTCGTTTTTTTTTCTTTCTTCATTTAAGTGGTGGTCGATGAGGTTTTGCTGAAGGTCGGAGGAGGTAGTGGAGGTGTTCATATTTAGAGGTTAATGAAAGTTGGAGGACGTGTAGGCTACGACACATAAAATCACAATCAAGACCTATATGGTGCAATCCACATAAGCAGACAATGCTCCTCTAAACGCTCGTAAAATCTAGATGGGCAGCCTAAATACCGCCTAGGCGCTAGGCGTTAGTTAGGCGGCCTAGGTACCGCCTAGACCTAGGCGTACGCCTAAGCGGACTAGGCGGACGTTTTTTAAAACAGGCTCTCCACATCTAAGAAAGAATTGAAACTTGACAACTAACTGCTAGAACAAATTTGACATCAAGTCCAAAGGACTCTCCACATCTAAGGAAAGAATGTTCAACATCGGGATAACCGTTGTCAAACTAGCACGAGCGGTTAAGAGCATGAGACGTTGATTAACAACGTTGATACATCAACGTCTCATGCTCTTAGCTCTTGTATGACCCACAACTTGGTTGGATTATATTTTTTTTCTTTTGGCTTGAAAATTGACAACTAACTGCTAGAACAAATTTGACCTCAAGTCCAAAGGACTCTCTACATCTAAGGAAAGAATGTTCAACATTGGGATAACCGTTGTCAAACTGCTCAGGAGAAAGTAGCACGAGCGGTTAAGAGCATGAGACATTGATTAACAACATCATAAATAATATTCCAACAGGAACTTAGAAATTCCCCCCAACAACATATTCAAATAAAAGAAAATTCATCAGTTCTGGAAGTGGAATAATTAAAAACTGAAGCGTATGTATCTGTCAGATTGTTTCTCTAAAACTACATTAGAGGTCATTCTAATTTACAAAAAATTGCCCAGGGCACAGGTGTGGAATTGCTTCAGCTAACCAAAAAAAGGATGCTGAGAAGTATGGAGTCCCAGAAATAAGCAGTCTACATCCGTGCAGTGTATTATTGATGAAAGACTGAAAATATGTTCAGGACTGCAGAATTGAATGTACGAAATCTATTTGATACAAATCGATGAAGCATGTTCAGCAAGTATAAACTTTCAAGTGAAAAAATTAAATAGCAATGATTTTAGTATAAATCTATGAAGCAAATCAGCAAGTATAAACTTCCAAAAAAAATAATTAATTCTAGCAATGAAAAAAGCAAATCAGCAAAAAGCATAAACACCCTTAAAAACATAATCAAATTAGCAAGAATGTGCGAACATTAAAGAATAGGCTAGTAAACGACCTCACTTCTCTGAGAGTGTCATAAAAGCCACCAAAGAGAATGATTTTGTGCTTGTATAATACCTGTTGTCATCAAAGCAGCTTCAATGTCAGAGCAGCAAGTCACAAATAAAAGGAGTGTGCGGGGCCAACAAAAGTAGAAACTAAGCATTATCATAAGTTCATAAGAGAAGCAGCATCCAACTCGTTCTTGTTAAAACTGAATTCAAATATGCAACCCACTCCAGTCGAGCAGACCTCATAACAGATTTATATGGCCGGTTGCCAATGTGACACCAACGTTCTATAAATTAGCACCAACTGTTAGTATCAGGCAATTATATGCAAGAAAGAGGCATGGACTAAGTGGCAGTGCTTTAGATGGAGCTATAAAATTACCATTCTGGTCTTTGCTCAAAGGTCGCAAACATAAAAAAATACACTGAACAGGAGAGCAGCAGAAGCCGGCTATGATGCTGGCAAGGACTAACATGATAATAACTGATTTGGTAGAGAAATAGGTGATAATAAAGACAGCTGCAATTGTGTTGGCAAAGGAAGTTATTGTTGTTGGTTGGATTGTTAAATTTTACAAAGAGATATTTTACTGCATAGCAAAGAGGATAACCCTAGCTATTGCCTATAGTTACTGGATGAGGGCAGCGAACTACTGTATAAGATGACAAACTAATTGATCTATTATATTTATACCTTAACATTCTCTCAAGATTCCAACTTTTCCTGGTTAATTTAAAACAAAATATTAGCTTTAAGTTACTGAATAACATCATCAAATTATAAAAAAGCCTTTACAATGGAGTTGGCAGAAGACATTATTCCTCACCCTTCCCCTTCTCAAATTAGTATTTCCATTTGCGGTTATTAAAGGGTAAACCTTTATGCAACGGTAAGGTTTCTCCATCATGAAGTGGAAATCACAGGTTTATACAAACAGCATCTCCACAAAGAATGGGTGAGGCAAAGCAA